GAGAGAGAGAGAGAGAGAGAGAGAGAGAGAGAGAGAGAGAGAGAGAGAGAGAGAGTCTCCTTTTTTTTGGGGGGGGAGGTAATTTTCCAAATACCCCCATAAGTTGAGATATATGTCAAAATGTCCCTAAACGATATGGGCACAGTGGAATGGCCTTTTGGACTGACATGTTTGTGCTATGCCCCTGTCAGGTGGGTGTGCAAATTCGTTTCGCCTTTTGCAATTGCACCTACGAAAACTTGGCAACTGTCGGGGCATTTTGCAAAGTTAGGCAGCGCCCGGTAGGGGTACATTGCAAAGATGGGGTCCAACTGATGGCTGGGGTGTTTCGCAAAATATTTTTGTCATCGTCCTTGCAAAGATGGGGTCCAACTGATGGCTGGGGTGTTTCGCAAAATATTTTTGTCATCGTCCTTCGCTGCGGCAGGTCCACTTGTATTACAAAATTATAAAGTTAATATAAAATTATAAATGCTTGAAATATTGAAATGAGAATAAAATCAGAGTAGTCACGCGCCGACTGTAGGCGCCCCCCGATTGGTAGGCGGCCTACCAGCTGACAGATCCACCCGTCAGCACTTGCCGGTCAGCTGGTGGTAGGGACCCCCCCCAAAAAATAAAAAAAAAATAAAGAAAAGAAACCGAGACCACCATAACCCCCGAATCTTGGGCCCCCCACCCCCCAAAATCCCCCTAACGCACCCCCCCCTAACCCTCCCCAACACCCCGACAACTCCTGCAATCAGACGCACGTTCTTCCTCACTTCGCATACATGCAAACAGATGACCATTCACACTGGCGCTGTACGTCCACACAAAGCTCAGAGATAATCAAGCCGAGAACACAGTTCAGATACAAACTTACTTCCAGCTATGGCGCTGTGCGCCCACGCATCCTCTGTCCGACACGGTGTTCTTCCAACTGTTCACATGTACTCGACTCAGGATCTCCCGGGATATCCCACGCATACACACAGTCTGACTAACCCCCTATTGCTAGCTATGGAAGCTATGGCCGCCAACTACCACTAACTACAAGCAGCTATGGCTGCGCTAACTCCACCTCAGCCCACTTCCACTTCAGGCCTCTGCAGACCACCTCGCACAAGACGCTAGGGCAGCGCTTCTGCATGGGTCACGCAGGAATGAATGAATGGCTGGACGCTGCCACTTGATTTATACTTCTGTAAGTCGCTGGTCTGCCCTTTTCCACCGGGCCCATGGTGCACACAGTCCCTCATGGTACTTGCTGACTGTACAAAGTGAGACTGGGACTGGGTACCGCCGACTAAGCGAAGTTGGACTCGCCACTTGCCCACTTGCCTCTGGTCTGCTGTGTATAACGTGAGAAGAAACTTCAAAGGCCACTTCCGGACCTTCTGGAAGTTTGCGGACTTGGCCTTTCAGGACTGTAGCAGCTACGACCTTGACCTTTCAGGACTGTAGCAGCTACGACCTTGACCTTTCAGAACTACAACAACTATGACCCCTATGGAGGTATGACCCCTACTTCGACAGGTCTAAGGTTCAAGACCCGACAACTACTCAGACCTACGACAGACAGCTTTCAACTACTAACACACAGGTCACGGGTT